TTTGACAAAATTATTTGATTCATATTATTTCCACCTGTTATTTTTATTTCAGGTGCTAAAGACTAACGTAACATAGGTTTTAGCAGAGTAGACCATTTGGTCAAATGCATGAAGTATTATTTTAACTTAGAGGTATATTTAGACATGAGGCTGTAATAGGAAAATGAAATAGAAATAGGGAGTTTACTTATATGAAATGAAAATTATGTCATTAACAATGTCATCTATACTGTAATGTTGGGGATAAAGCAAACTTCCTTGCAGTTTTAAGCTAATTAACACTTCCTGTGTCTGATAAAATAAAGGCTAGCCCATTAAAAACAGAGATGTCAATCTTTAAGAAAAGGTTAGGCAGCCTTTTTGTAGCAAAGGGCCACATTTCCCCCCTCTTTTCTGATGCCCAAGTAGTTAAGGTGTTAGAGAGGGGGGGGGAAAGTTATTTCTATCATAGATTCAGAAGCACATTCTTATGTAGGTAAGCCCAGAACAACTAATTACAAATTAAAAATAATACAAATTAAAAATTACACTGTTGTCTGGTCAAAAAGATAATTCCTAATATTTATTCCATCTGTTTTGGACTAAACCTATTTTGATAGCTCTGAAACAACATTTAGCTATGTTACCTCAGACTCCAGAAGATGGAATTTTACAACCAGGAAAATCTCTGATTAGAGAAGTTATAATACAGTTGTGTAAATGCATTACAAAAGGTCATGTCCCAACAATTCTGAGTTATTCCTGAGTGCCTCACAAAGGAAATTTGTTAAATCTAACCTCTAAAATTACAATGAGGAACCCATGCTAGTATAAATGCTCTGTGGTATTTAAGAATAGAGAGTGAATCAAGGTACCTCAGAAATCTAATGTGTTAATTTGATTCTCTATAATTATGTGTATCTTACTGCAGCAGCCCACATCTAATCTCCTTTCTTTAAGGACTAACTTTGCTTGTTTATATTCCAAGTTCCTTGGAAGAACTTTAACTTGCAAAAGTAACAATCTATTTGGGGAAGGCCCACTTCCATTTGGAAGACCAGTGGATGGAGTAACAACACAGAGATCCCAGAGAAGTGCACTGCTAGTTTTTGAGGTCAGCTTTACAGGAGAAGTGGTGTTCAAGTGTGAAGTCTTACATACTAGATTTATGTTCTTTTCAGCCTACAATGGTTGAT